ACTGTAGGAATCGTCCCCAGGTCCTGTTTCTGACTGGCGGCAGGGTTCAAGTGTCTCTCGCAAACAGAATCTACTATCCGTAGGGCACGGTCGAGATACGGAGATGGCTCGGAGCGATTCTGGAGGGATTGGTGGATGAGCAGCATGCCGTAAGCAGCGACCATGGCTGCGCTTGTATCTGGGGGTTGCGTAGTAGCACCAGACTCCTCTTGTGCGTCAAAGTCCCAGGGTGGAATATGGGTATCAGGTAATCTCCCCAAGAAGTAGTCGGCACAGCTCTTAGCCGTGTCAAGAAAAGAGTTTTCGCCACTCCATTCATAAGACTTTGCAAACCCTGCAATTGCCCACGCCTGACCTCGCGACCAACATGATGTATGGCTGTAGCCCTGGTTTGTGAGACGTTCTTTAAGAGCGCCGGTCGAAGGGTCGAAGTTGGCAACGTGGTAGCTTGACCAGTCGGCACGAATAAGGTACTCTTTCGATGTGCGAGCATGGGCCATCGCGATGTCGAAGAACCGAGTTGAGTCAGCTTGGGAAGAGGCCTCGGATGCTGCCCAGAAGAGGAGGTCGAGGTTCATCATATTGTCCTGCTGAGTCAGCTATGCTATTCTAACCAAGAGAAGTCGTTGTTTAGACATCAAGCTTACAATAATAACAAGAAAGTCCTTGCTTGGGTCTGTAAACGAATAAACCTTTGTTTGACACACATCCCATGATCGTATGCAGCCGACCTTTGCCGAGAAACGGTCTGCTAGGGTGTTTGCGGCCGTCATTAATGTGTCGAACGCCTTTGGGTCACGATGGAGATCCCACTGCAAACGGGCCCAGGGGCAAATCATGAATCCCAGATCGTGCGTGCCCATGAGAGACCCGTTTTGGTGAAGACTCTCCGTCCACCATTTAGAAGCATATCTAGCAATGACTTATCAGCAACTTGTGTTGATTACAGATAGGCAAGAGAGCAGTACTCGAGTTGAAGCATGTGAGGAAAGTCTGGCTCTGATCGCGAAAGGCCAAGAAGTCGCATTTCAGTTTGGAATTTCTTTCTACGCTCCATGATCAGGTAGAGTAACCCCGGAAAGAAACCCGAGGTCCAAAACGAAGCATCTCTGTAGACGTACTCAGTGCTTCCTGGTTTGGTATATTCCGGAAACCAAGTAGGCGGCTCTGGCTGGTTTGAGCGTTAAACTCGGAAGGTTTCCACTGTAATCTGCAAGGGACATACCATGTTGAGGCTTCTCTCAGCGACAGCCCATATCTTCATCTCAACGGACGGGGAGAACAGAATTTCAAGATGCTTGAATTCGCTAGATAGCGATTTCTTCACGTCGGCTTTTGTTCTCTCCGTCCCATTTCTCTTCGCACCATTTGTGTACTCGCTCTCCGACATCTGGAAGAATAATGGTTAGCGAATGTCCCAATGCTCGATGGAACAAGGGTACGCACAGGAAGCTTGCGCTTCGTCGCCAATATCTGGCTAGGCTGTATCGTTTCTGAGAGCTTCATCGTTGCGAGCTATAGGGCGCTAGGCACGGTAGGAATCAAGGTAACAGATGCTGAAGAAAACAACGAGTTGCTTATTACAGAAAAGGTCTTTATTTCAAGAGAACAACTGATTTGGCCTTGAAGAATGCTTACTCAGTTGATAATTGAAGAAGCATGATACTCTAACAAGGACCGGAGAAGATGTCGGATGTTGTTCCGTAAGCGTGGGTGAGACTCCATGACTATGCCCTTACCCACAAGACCCACTGGAGCTCTTGCTTACGTTTTCCATGTTCAATAAGCTGATTACAGGCCTTGCCGTATACAGCGAAGCCAGGTGTTTTGGTCTAACATGCTGTCGGAAAAGGTCTCGGGTTTTTCCCGTCTGCAAGTACATCAAGCTGCAAAGATGTATGCCAGCCCTATCATGTATACCAAGACCACCATTATACTACCATGCGTAACCGGTGGGCGAAAAAGACCATAAGCCCACCTCGGAGCCTGTGTCCGCCACTTGGCTTCTTGAATCCAGTCGTGGTAAACAATCCCAATCTTATCCCGGGGCTACGCTGATTATTTTAAGACATCAGACATTGAATCTTCCTTGAGGCAAATCTGAGTACCTGCCATGTATTCCTTGATTTGTGTTCTTTGCAGTTGGGTTGTCTTATTCCAACCAGTGGCTCAAGCCATCTGGAACCCGATCATTAGTGGGTGGAATCCAGATCCTGCGATCCTGACCGTAGGCGACGATTACTACATCGCCACTTCCTCTTTCGAGTACTGGCCAGGTATTCCGATCTACCATAGTAAAGTCCTAATCCATCCTTCAATCGAGTCAGATTTGCTGATTAATTCCAAGGCAAGGATCTATCCAATTGGACGCTCAAGTCTCATGCTTTGACACGACCAGAGCAACTGCAACTCTATGGGACGCCCACTGGAGCAGGTAAATAACACGTTCCAATTCCCATTTGCGACGCAAAGAGTCTGACTCACTACGGACAGGTGCCTGGGCGCCAAGTCTCTCTTTTATCGATGGAAGGTTCTGGCTTTCAGCAATGACACGTTGGACCTATGATCCCGTGGCCCGTGTATGGCCTCGAGTCTGGTTCATCTCTTCAGAGGACCTCTTCAACTGGTCTGATCCTGTCTGGGCCGAGCCATGGGGCATCGATCCTGAGCTTTTCCAGGACCCTGTGACCAAGAAGACCTATCTCAATCTGATGGCCCCTAACAACAATAAAGATCGACTCTGGGGTATCGCCCAGTGTGAGGTGTCTCTGACATCTGGAAATTGCGTAGGGCCTTATGTTAGTCTATGGAACGGGACTTTGCCTCACAATTCGACAGCCAGACCCGAAGGACCCAAGATGTATTACAAGGATGGGTGGTATTATCTCCTGATCGCTGAAGGTAAGTATGTTTGAGTCCTTCTCGAACAATTGTAAGCATTAATGCTCCCTAGGCGGTACGGATCAGCTGCATCGATCGACCATCGCAAGAAGCAAGACCCCGTCTGGTCCATTTGTCGCCGGGCCACACAATCCTCTGCTATACAATGGGCAATGGGGGTTTGACAATCTTACCGTCCAGTCCACTGGACATGCCACCCTAACAAAGACGAATGACGGACTATGGTATGCGACATTTTTAGCTCGCCGCAACATCAACGGATCATCTCCTCTTGGTACGTTCGCCTCATCAATCATTTGTTAATTAATCCCTAACCACGACAAGGCCGAGAGACATTCATGGTCAATGTTGACTGGAAGGATGAGTGGCCAGTCTTCAACCAAGGCGATCCTGTTCTGCTAAGTAGGCAAATAAAGCCAGAGGTTGGCCCAAGACAGGTTCCTCGACAATGGGTCGACGACTTTTCTCGCACTAAACTCGACTCATCATGGTATCAACTTCGGGTACCGTATACCAAGAATTATGAGTTAGAGAAAGGGAAATTGGTGCTGAAACCCAATGTCTTCGGTCTCAGTGACCGTGATACCCCAGCAGCGTTGCTACGTAAGCAGAAGTCGCTCAACATGACGTTTTCAGCCGAGCTCGCCAGCTTCAAGGGGAATCTAGGTCCAAGAAATAGGATCGGAATCTCTTCATACCTCTCCGAGTTTCAGCATCAAGATATCGGTATTCGAGGATGTGTTAATGCTACCAGTATTTGTCTCTATACTGAACTCAACAAGAATGGCACCCAGGAGGTGAGTTGCCATTTTCAAGGTATTCGCGAGTCCATTGCTAATTGTGACAGTATTGGCAAACTTCACTCAACCAAACGAGCGGCCTTGCTGGTGGTCTTAGGTTACACATCAAGGCTGAACCCCTCGAATACCGACTAGGTTATAGTTTCGGAAAAGAAGCCCCAGTATACGTAGGGTCAATCGCGTCATCCTGGCAAGCTTTTGCTCCGCCAAATTGGTTTGTGTTTTCTGGCGCATCTTGGGCGATATTTGCAACAGGGGATGGAGAGCCCTGGCCTCACAATGGACCGCAAGTTGGATTCAACGAGGTCAGGGAGACTTTTCACGAGGAGAACATTCCTGATTACGATCGATGGTAGAGGTGATAAGCCAAAGCTGTCGTTGGTTTATCTTTGTGTTTTTTGCTTCTCCTTCTTCTCCTTCGTCTCCCTCTAATTGAGTATCATTTGTCTTGGACTTGGTTAATGGCGTCCAATTACGATCAATAAGATGTGTGGCGACTAGCTAATTGCACCGAAGTGAGCTGGGTTAAGCTACCGAGATGAGACCAATTTAACTCAGTGTTTGCTTTAGGGAAGGGAAATCGCGCTACGATAAGCCCGGCTACGCTGATATTACCCGTAGATTCCCCGACCAAACCACAGTTCATTTGATTTCCAGCATTGAATCATGTAGCCCGCTGTATTCTGCTCAGCCCAACATCACAACCCAGACCATTCAAAGCTTCCAGTTAAATTCAGAATAGCGCAAGTGTTTACTTAATTCAATTTTATGTATCATGTCGCTTGTGTACAGTGTCGTTAACAGAAGTGGTTTCTTGCTCTGATTTTGCCAAAGAGAAATCTAAATTGTCACAATACCCTACACTCCACTGAATGACCGGCGACGGATTAGATCACGGACTTCCTCCGACGAGCCCGCTTTTCTGTTCTTTTTTCATCTAAGCGACCCAATTATATCCAAGGACAGTCTCCGCTCAAGACATGGATCACGAAGCCCATTGAGTCTAGCACTAAGAGTAGCAGCCATCATCTCATTAAAGCACATGCATATACAGATTTATTGTAGTGGTAAAGAGAAGGCTGTTATTAATACAATTGCAAGATGAGCAGCAATTCAGATTTGAATCAAGCAGTAGAAGTCTTTCACTGCCACAGATTTGTGAAATGCAACATATGTTGATGCTCTGACTTGAGATTAAACGGCTGTCGGGCTCATTTCCGAGACTTATCCCGACCCCGATACCCAATGAGACCAGACAGACTCTTCTCCACGAAAGCTAAACTCAATCAACAAGGGTGACGTGACATGCCCCATGGGGCCCCGCCACTCGTTATGATTGTCATACGGGTCCAATTCCTCTGGTTCTGTACTCTCGCATGTTCGCAAAACGCCGCGTGCACATTAAAGCTTATCAGCGCTGCTTTATCGCGACCAGCCGATTCCAAACATGAGCTTCCAACCATATTCAGAGCAAGACAATGATGAAGAGTCACCTACCCGCCTCAATGGAGTCCATTCAGACGAACCTCGGCCTGAGAAACGCAAGCGCACCAGCAAAGACGACCCCCAAGGACCTTCGTGTTCTCTATGTCGCAGGCGAAAGGCAAAGTGCTCAAGAGATCAACCATGCGGCACTTGTATCAAGCTCGGTAAATTTCACTTATCCTTCAGACTTGACCGACTGACATGTTGAAGGTGCCGAATGCATATACGACCAGGAAAAGTCAAAGCCAGGCATGCGAGCGGGGGCTATTGAGACATTGACTCAGCGTGTAGGTAGGCAGCAAAGCAACTTCACATACTCAATCCTTGTAGCTGACCTACTTGCTGGTAGCGACGCTGGAAAATATGTTTGTTGGCCAGGGAGTTCTCTGGCAGCAGATCTGGAACAGCATCAAGCAACCAAACAACCAAGAGTACGGGCGAACCCCAGACTCCCATCCAGAAATTTCAATCCAGCAGATGGCATCTGATGTCCGAAGACATCTCACTGAATTACCATTATCGGAAATCGGTCAACAAGTGGATTCGGTAGTTGAAGGAATTCAACCAGGAAGCACATTCGATGCAACAAATACGCACCGGCCAAAAAATACCCCCAGTCTTCAACACCAGGTTAACCTGGGTACCCTCCCTCCAGACGATCTAGTGGACTCCATGGTCAACATCTACTTCAATCAGATCCATCCTTGGATACCCATGTTACATGAGCCAACATTTCGAGGGCTGCTCTCCAATCCTTCAGGAAGAGCGCGATTATCGACAATACTCCACGCGATAGTGTCTCTCTGTATACGATTCTCAGATGATCCACGGCTACAGAACGCTCCAGAACTCCGTGGTCAATATTCCACTAGCTGCCGCCAGACAGTCATACTTGCGAGTATGGAGTCCTTTTCGGTCGAGAACTTGCAAGCAATGACCATTTGTGCATTTGACATAATTGGTAGCGGCAGAGGTCCCTCGGCATGGTCCATAGTCGGCAGCATGTCTAGAACCGTTGAACAACTACGCCTCAGCACTGAGGAGGAGGAGACCCAGTCACATCAGTCAAGGTCAAAGGCTCTAATCGAGAGGGTGGCCTTCCTCCCCCCAGCGTCGACATGGGCCGAAGTAGAAGAGCGGCGCCGCATCTTCTGGAATGTATTTCTCATGGACCGCTTCTGCAGTATCTGCACTGGCTGGAACCTCTCATTAACCAGTGCTGATGTCACGAGGAGGCTTCCTTGCGAGGGCGCTATATGGGAGACCGGAGAACCAAGCCAGACTCCTACTCCCTACTTTGGAATCTCGACTCGGTCCCACGACCGTGAGAAAGATTATTTACCAGCCACTCGCGATACTGAAGATGGCCAGGCTTCTCTCGGAGGCTTTGCCTTTTGTATAGAGGCAACGGAGAGTCTGAGCCTTGTCACATCGTTTTTTCTTCAATACCGCGTTGATTTCAAGGAGGTCCACGAAGTACAGAGGTGGCTTATGAGATTTAAGCAGCTGGACCTGCGGCTCGTACAGTATGTAGTCCCTTCCCATACAAGTGATCGAGCTGACCAGACGAGATGGAAATTCTTTCTTCCTGAGAAATGGCGCAAGGCTTGCCAGTTCAACAATGACGGCAACTTGGATCCCAATCTAGTCCTTGCACACATAGCGCACAACACTGCCGTTGTCCTCCTACATCAGGGCTTAGCGTATCCACCAGCAGAATGGCAGTCTCTTCCTGTCAGACTACCTTCTTCTTCTAGCGCAGAAACTTGTCAGGTCGCGGCTGACGAGGTTGCCACAATAGCAGAGCAATTCCTTGGTCACTCACATGTACTTATCAGTCCGCAGTTTTCGTTTTGCCTTTTCGTGTGCGGCAAGATGCTGCTGACTCATGCCGCATACTACCAGTCCACTCTAACTTCATCCTTTGACTCGATCATATCGAGCCTCGAAGAGATATCTCGTAGGTGGAACGGGGACCAGCCTCCAGCCCGAGCCAATCTGGCTTCTAAATTCTGCTCGCGCCTCAAGAAGGCTCGCATTGAAGGTTCCAGTGCGGTCGACATCCGGGAAGCCTTCTCCGAGAAGCAAGACGCTATTGCATCATCAAGAAGTGCGGATGTCAACTTTCGTAGTACAGGGCTTCAAAGGATGAGCGCTTCAACTGAAGCAACAGTACCAGGCGCATTAGATGGAGAAATCGGCATTAATGGTACTCAGACGGAGTCGCCCGAGAGCATTTCTCTGGCTTTCCCGCCACTTCCACTGTCATTCCAGATGGGTAGCGCAACCCACGATTCAATATTCGCCGCGCAGGCAAAGCCAGGTAACGACATGGGACAAGTGGTCGGTACGGATATGAATATGGCAGGGAATTGCCTCGACTTCTATGATCTCTCAGAGCAGACGTTTCTTCCATCAGAACGCGTTAGTATGCTGAGTCGCTCGTATATTGGAGACTGATGTAATCATGAATATGAGCTTCAGCTGTAACGAATAGCACATGTGTCTCACCAGTGAATGAGTCGATATGTTCTGAGAAGCATTCTTATGGAAACCCCTGGCTGTATGTTGTTGAAGTATCTCTCGCATCGAGTAGATTATTTCATACATAGTAATAAATAAGCTTATTGGCTTTTTCGATCTGAACTGCTTAGGCCAGTAGCCCGTTTCCAGCCTGGAACCAGTTGGCGAGAAAGCAAAGTCGGACAAACCCACTGGCCACATCGGCTTCTATACTTTCTAGAAAACAATAAAGACGATAAGGCTGTAGACGGAAAGCGGGGTCTACCCTCTGTGTGCGGGCTTTTGCGACTAGCCCTCGTCGGCCAAGCTGTCGGGCTGACCCCGAAAGCCACTTGCGCCCGGGTACTAGAGACTCATGATAAGGACTGCAATGGTCATTCCAGTTCCTACCCGCACTTTAATGCATTAAAACCACTTTCATCTTACATATAAGTGCCATGAACAACTTACACCGCAGGCTTGACGACTTGAGCCCTGCTGTTCGAGAGTTGATGAAGCTCGGTGGAACGCCAGGCTTGAGTCTCTCGGTCGCGACAAAGAACCAGCCAGTTTACCATGCAAACTACGGCTTCCGAGACCTTCAGAACAGACTTCCTGTTACAGAAGAGACAATATTCCCAGTATGTTCACTCGCCAAAGGCCTGTCAGCCGCGGCCATGGGCATATTGGTTGACGAAGGCATTGCATCATGGGAGATGCATGTTAAAGATGCAACACCCTCTTTTCACCCAAACAACAGTGATCTACATGACAACACAACATTAGCCGACCTCTACAGCCACCGTAGTGGTATGTCATCATGCGGAAACCTGGTTGGTGGTTGTGAGGGTAACATCTTGATCGGCAAGGACGACTGCATGCGAGTTGTTAATCACCAGATCCTGGTCCCTGAGAAGCTCGGCTCATTCGCATACAACAGTACTGCATACGATGCCTGTGATGAGGCTTTAAAAAGCCTTAGCGGCGCCTCTCTTGAAGACTTCCTGCAGCAGAAGGTCTTCAACGAACTAGACTTACAAAGGACCTTCATGAAACCGCCGCCCACCGACAAGGACAACGTGACCAAGTCTTATAATACTCTAGATGATGGAACGCCATGGTGCATACCAGGACCCAAGCTTGGTGAGGATGGTATCGGCTGCGGTTCCGGCGGACTCCGGTCTTGCGCTGCTGACTTGATCAAGCTCTACACCTGCTTCGTCCAGAGCTTTAATCATGAATGTCAGACAGGCCAATCTTCCACACCCGGCTCCCCTCTGAAGCAGGTATCAAGGCTCATGTCTGCTCACGTGCCAATGCTCGCGACTGAGAGGGGAGAAGTGTCTTACGGACTGGGATGGGCTCGTGTGCAGCTGCCCAATACCCTGGGACATATTGGCCTAAACGGTCGGCTAATGCCACAGGGAATGCCGGTCATCGGAAAAGGAGTAGCTGAAGAACTGATATTATACCATCAAGGCACGCTCCCAGGCGCCCTTGCGGTTGTTATACTGATTCCCCGTACGGAAAGCGTCGTGTTGGTCATGAGCAACAGCCTCTCACTTACTGATGTACCTGACTGGGTGTCACAAATGGTACTTGAGGAAATCATTGATGTTCCGATCAAGGATCGCACCGACTTTATTGCATACGCGAAGACGTCTATCGCTATCAACTTGGGATGGTATGACCGAATTGCCCAAGGTCTCGTGCAAGGTCAATCACATGCCACCAAACCTCACAAACCATTGGAGGCATACGTAGGAGAATATGTTGATGAGAGCCGTGTTTTCAGCGTCATGGTCACTGTGAAAAAGGGGGTGCTCTTTTGGGCATTCCAGGGACTGGATTCGGAAAGGTACAAGCTGACACATTACGATGGCGATACTTTTACGTGGTTGCAACCACGGAACGACTTGTCGCGCCGCGGTAGATGGGTATTGGGAAATGATAATGATCCGTCGTTCTGGAAGATAGAATTTGGTGGTTTTGATGAACATGGCAGCGTAAACACGGTGCTCTGGCGCCACGACCCCTCCCTAGATCCCGTTGTCTATTCGCGATAATGGCGAACAATGACTTTCATTCCGAATGCGCAGTCTATCTAAGATGTCTTTCATAACCTGCTCGGTGATTCTAAACTACTTAGGCTACCAGTTATACGACATATTCATATGCCGCCTGGAAACATATGTCGTGCACCCTAGAATACTCAATCCGACTCTGGGGAACGAGCAAGAGATGCAATGCTTCAAGAGGGACCAGCGTATGTCCTCTCAATCAACGCATGCACGCTATTTTAGTCAGAAAGTTTATTTCTCACAGGCTACGGAACGGTCATGGGATCAATGACTGCCCCATTTACCATGAACTCCGAAACTTGGGCCGCATGCCGGAAGTAAACGAAGTTCTGACAAACTTCAGTTGACAGTATGACCTATCTGGCAAAATGGTTGGGCTATTCACGCTCTCAAGTTATTGGCAGTCTTCCGTATTTCGTCCTATGCTGAAAGTTCTCAGCACTCCAGGAGAGGCGTTATTGCCAGTACGGGCAACATTGTCAACGGCATAAGAGGTAGATATTACTCAATATGTGTCTCAAGCTCCATGGGTAAACGTTTTGTTTTGCTGGCTTCGGAAAAGATTACAATAGCTGTGGCGGCAAACTCAGCACCTGAAGCCATGAGGCGACATGTCCAAGCCTTTCCAATTATGATCTGACAGAAGCTTCAACTAGTAGCAAATAAGGTCCATGGAGTCGCAAGAATTGGTCGCTAGTAGGAGCTGCTCCGACGCTTTCTCCGATGCCCTGTCACTAGTGCAAGACCCAACGCCCCCATGTTTCCCCGCATTCTACCAAAGTGAAGGGCGGAGCTGAATCCGAAATGCGTCAGGGCTGGAATTGTCTGTAATTGCCTTTTGGCTTCATCGATTTCCACTTTCTATATATTGGCGATCTGCATCCACATACAATCAACTACGACTGAGTAACAGAGTTAACATTTATCGTTTCTTAGAAGTCCCAGGCTTCCATTTATTCGATCTTGCTGATAGCCCCTGTTCCACTTCGTCAACATGAACGATCCGAACAACGCCAAGAGAGAAATGGCTGATGTGGAAGAATTTGAAGGCCTTGTCCTCGCCGATGTCATCCCCAAACTGGACAAGTGGTGGTTTCAGTACCCCAATCTACGCAAGCTGAATTTGCTTCTGCTCAGTGCCTTCCTGGCCCAGTTTACCTGCGGATTTGACGGCAGCATGCTGAACGGCATGCAGTCTCTGCCTCTCTGGCGGGAAGCATTTGGCGACCCAGTATGTTTCTCTGGGGAAGTGACAAATTGTCTCGTCTGAAACACTAACATGTGAGCTGATAGACAGGTGCTAACCTCGGAACTCTTGTCAATGCGATTAATATCGGTGTTCTTGTATCCGCCCTCTTTTCCTCTCAGCTGTGCGAGATTTTCGGGCGGAAGAAACCGATCACGCTCGGCACTTTCTTGATCATCATCGGCTCTGCCCTTCAGGGCGGCGCCCAGAATCTGGGCATGTTTATTGCCGGCCGAATCATCATTGGCTTGGGAACTGGCATCGTAGCTGTGGCCGCTCCTCAGTTGATGACAGAAGTCGCGTACCCGACCCATCGCGGGAAAATGGTGTCTCTATACATGACACAATGGGTTGTCGTAAGTGGTCAAATTTCTTTTTGGCAGTGATAAATCCTGGGTATCTAGCAACAATACTGACATGTTATACCTACCAGGGCTATCTCGTTGCTGCTTGGACAACGTTTGGCACGTTCAAGATGAACTCTTCCTGGAGCTGGAGGCTACCCAGTCTCTTGCAGGGCGTTCCAGCCATTCTGCAGCTAATTCTTAGCATTTGGGTCCCCGAGTCTCCACGCTGGCTCGTGTACAAGGATCGCCGAGATGAAGCTTTGAGTGTGCTTTCTCAGTATCACTCCTGCGGCGACCACGACTCTCGCCTAGTGCGCTTCGAGCTACTCGAAATCGAAGCAACCCTGGAAGAAGAAAAGAAGCATAAGGCGATCCAGTGGTCCGAGTTTATCCGCACCAGTGGCAACCGTAAGCGCCTCTGGATCTTACTTTTCATGGGTTTCGCTGCTCAATTGTCGGGCCTGGGTTTGACCGGCTATTACCTGACCAAGATCTTGAACAGCATTGGCGTGACCAATGCCAACACGCAACTTCTCATCAATGCAATCGCTGCTGTTTGGCAGCTGTGTTGCTCCGTTTTCTTTGCTATGCTTATTGATCGAGTCGGCCGACGCGGTCTGATCACATTTGGAATTACTACCATGTTGGTTGTCTTCATAGTATGGACTATCTGCTCTGCCCTCAACGAGGAACGCCACTTTTCCGATAGGCCTCTGGCGCTCGCCGTCGTTGCCATGATCTTTCTGTTCCAGGTTGGCTACCAACCCTTTGCCATCTCAACAGTGCCCTACGTTGTTGAGTGTTCTCTCTACTCGTTGCGCTCAAAGACAGCTATGATCTTCCAGTTCTGTGGCTACTCGGCTAGTTTCTTCACAGGCTACGTCAACCCTGTTGCCTTGGACCGCATCGGCTGGCGTTACTACATCTTTGCATGTGCTGTTCTCGGCGTCGAATGCGTGTTTGCATGGTGGTATCTGCCTGAGACAAAGGGCAAAGGTCTGGAGGAGATTGGCCAGATCTTTGACGGTGACGAGCTTTTGACTGGTACGCAAGCCATTGCTAAAAAGCGCGAGGAGAAATATCGTGCATTTGATGAGAGCAGTCTTCGTGAGCGCAAAGCTCTCAATGCGAGCCACATTGAGAAAGGGGAGACTGATGTCTGATGGGTGACAAAGATAGTCTTACTTTGTTGCATAAGATCGCTCTCGTTTCTCAATCTTGTCTGTATATAGCCGCCAAAGGTTTCACTATAATGCACAAGAACGTTCACAAATACCCATCTTTCACAAACGGCATTCAGTACGTACATATCATTACTTCCGCGGGAATGCGTGAGAAGCATGTGAAAATATTCAGCAAATCATACTTTCCATTCCAAAGGGCGTTTTCCAAGGTCAGTTGCTATATTCTTAAACTTGGTGGGAAACCCCATATCGTCGACTGGAGCCGCGTCTAAGTCCGGCTTCCTCGGCTGCTGGGCACGAGTACCATCGTCATATAAGTGGTCATAGCGGGGTATCAGGCCATTGGTGACGTGCTCATGCCTCATACACAGTCAATCAATGAAGCCGTCCGTCAAGGTAATTTCCGGTGCCACAATATGTCTCGGGATTTCGACTGCGGTTGTCTCAGAAATGGTCCAGACAAAGCTTGCGGCGAAGCATATCAGCTGCCCAAGTGTTGCAAATATTTATAGAGTAAGTAATAAATGATTTCACTCTTGTTATTTCTTGCTTGGCTGTAAAGGGACGGTGTTTTCAACATGCTGGCCAGAAACAGTACTCGCGCAACTCTCACCGCAGCTGTCCTTGGTGAGGTCTGCACCCCGTCTTCATAAGAGCTGAAGATCCCTCATTGACCAGCTGTAAATAATACAGTTCCCAAAATCTAATAACTCGCTGTTGCGGCCAAGGTTGTAAGGGTATTGCTGGCTTTTTTTTTTGATTCAGTGTTACGCTATACCCCGCCTATGGAGCAAACCTATACCATCCATCCCTTTCGGATACTACGGCATGGGACGTCCAGATTTAAGCCACGTTGCAGTGATGGGGTTCAGACGATGACGAAGGTACTGGTTCTGTTGGGTATTGTAGTGTTTGCAAGTCATGGCAATATTGCCGTGTATGACATCGGCCAATGTGGCTCATGAAATAAAGTGTCGCTTTCATGCATCTCTAAACTCTGTATATGTACTCCGTAGACTCAAGTCAATAAATCATGCTTATCAAGCCAATCGGTACCTTTCATCTAGTGCTTACGCTGACAGGGTGACTATCAACCATATTATCCATTCACAAGCAACTCTTTTGCTGGGATATGAATCCTGCTTCGGCAGATAAAAGTTGCTTCACGTCAGCCAGATACCAAACGATAATCAACAATGTCTGAGCGTACGGCGTTTGCAAATAAAAGAACTACACTCATTAAGCCCGAAATCCCGGACTTTGGCTTTACCTGGCATTATCATAAATCCCGCGGGCATTAAAACACATCATGTTGAACACGAAGGCAGTGGAACGCGAATCAGTGGATACCTCTTCATTTCGACTCGGCACTCGGCAGGCATTAACACGGTGATAGTAATGGCTACTCACATGATGTTCACTTTGATTGGTTGCGGAGACGATCGCGGTTGATCCCGACGTCGTATCACGATGCAGATGCATGCGAAAAAGATGTATGATCGACGTGCCTTAAACAGGTTTGGAGGTTGAACAAGCTGATGTTTCCTCTACTCTCTTTGCAAGAGGGGTTATAAATGCTGAATGAGTTCTGCCTCTTGAACCCAAAACCTCAAAGCAAAATACCAGACCTCAAATATTAAGTCTATCATCTCAGCTGTTTTGCACTGCTCTTCTACCAAAGCGCCAGCATGGGTGTACTCCATACCGAAGCACTGGCCGAGCTAAGCCTTGGCTCCGCGATGGCTCTTTCAGGTATTGCTTTAGTAAGTTCAAGTCTCACAGACCTCTAGTTATCCTTCTAATCATCTTGCAAAGCTTCTTTACCTTTTCATTAGTTCTGTATACTACGCTTTCTTTCACCCACTCGCCAAAGTCCCAGGACCGAAACTATATGCCATAACTCAAATTCCCTATCTCTACTATCTCAGCAAAGGCGACTGGGTCTTCCACCTCGCAAAACTGCACGAACAATATGGACCAGCTGTCAGATTCACGCCCAAAGATGTCTCTTTCATCACTGCGGAAGCTTCCAAGAAGATATACGGTCACAAAGCGGCTGGAAACAAATCGTTTGAGAAGGACTTTCGTATGTATCGCCAGAACCGTCCTTGCTCAAGCATCGTTCGTTCCGATCAGGAAGACCACAGACGTATGCGCCGCCTACTCGCACATGCCTTTTCGTCAAAGGCACTTCGCGGTCAAGGTGATGTTGTGGATCACTACGTCGAACTGTTCATGAAAGGCCTCACAGAGCGGGCACAGCGAGGAAAGGAAATCGACATTGTAGCTTGGTATAACTTTGCCTCGTTCGATCTCATTGGTCATCTCGCTCTTGGTCAGCCTTTCGGATGTCTTGAGAATGGAAAGTATCATCCTTGGGTCAGCAGAGTCTTCAAGGGCCTCAAGGTTCTTTCTTATACTCAGATCTACGTGCGCCTCGGTCTCCAGAATTGGATCTCTTTGTTGAGTCCCCCAAGCTTGAGGAAGAGCTATGAAGAGCATATGCAGTTCGCAGAGCACGCGGCACTCTCCCGCATTGAATCCAAGGATATTGACAGCCAAGACTTTATGTCCTATGTCCTTCGTCATAACGATGAGAAGGGTATGTCGCAGCTTGAGATCATCGAGAACTCGGGCGTCATGATCATCGCTGGTAGCGAGACAACAGCTACTCTTCTCAGTGGAACCACCTATTTCCTTCTCAAGAACCCTGACAAACTTGAGAAGTTGACAAACGAGATACGCTCTGCCTTTAGCTCAGAGGAAGAGATCAATGTTACCCAGGTTGACCAACTGAAGTATATGCTGGCTGTCTTCAACGAAGGGTTTCGCATGTGTAAGGTTCCCTATCATCAGGCTATTTCCACTGCATTGTGTACTGATCGTCCTTTTAGACCCACCAGTTGCTGTAGGACTGTCGAGACTTTCCCCAGCCGGTGGCGAGTTCATCGACGGTTATTGGATTCCTGAGAATGTAAGCCGAACTTATGGCTTCCAGTTGCATTCACCAAACTCTGACTTTTACATACAGACTGCGGTTTCGATGCCTCACTGGCCCGCATATTACTCAGAACTAAACTTCAGAGATCCTAAGAAGTTTGTCCCAGAACGTTGGTTGGATGATCCTCGATATGCGAGCGACAACCGGGCTATCCTATCGCCATTCTCCCTAGGACCACGTGACTGCATTGGCAAAAAGTAAGTGCCCCGCCGTGACTAATACAAGACACGGCTGACGATGACAAACAGTCTGGCGTATACCGAGATGCGACTCTTGTTGGCTCGCATGCTCTGGAAGTTTGACCTCGAGGCTGTACCAACCGAAAAGGACTGGTACGACCAGAAGATCTTCTTCCTATGGGAGAAGGGTGGACTGCCTATCAAACTCAAAGAGGTTGTCCGTGAGAAAGTGTGAATGCACAAGAGTCATTGGTAAGCTAGAGAATTAAAGTATATTATGTTTGGTAACGGCCCATAGAAGATATTATGCTTAGTTGGGATCAAGTGTTCTCGGGAGCAGTAGCAACAGGCTAGGCTGGGTTGCCAACGATCGAATATACCTATAGTTAAGGGAGCGCGGTGCAGCGACCTCCAGCGGGTCAGTCAGGCCACCAGATATCTAACATACATTTCAATCCGCCCATTCGTTGCAGTCATAGATTCAACCTGATGTTGAAGACTTGTGTGGTCTTATCCTTGTAGCCCTAATCAACCCCAGGCCACCAAAAGTAACTGCAATGCCAGTGAATACCATGAGTGGGCCATACTTGGTTCCGTAGCCAAATCTTCCTCCCCAGCCTGTATCCCCAGAACTCAGCAGTGGGATGCTCACAAGGCCACCGCTCACAAACCCGATGCCTCGAGCTCCATTGAGAAGTCCATATGTAAGACTGGAGTCAATAGTCTCGTTATGAACTTCTGCTTCACCTTCCAGTTCCTTAGTAATGCCTCCCCACGTTGCACTATAACCACCAGCAAAGAAGCCAAAGACGATAGCGAATACGAGAGTAAGAGCAGGGCTTCCGTCTACCGACAACCCCCAGAGTAAGAGCACAGAGGCCGATGATGCGAAAGCTGAGAGGCAAGTTATTGTAGTGGCCGAAAATTGATGATACTTATTGTCCGTAAGCCAGCCAAAGAAGAAGCACGAGAGGATGCCGGGAATATTGTGCAATGTTAGCAATAGAGTAGAAATCGCTTGACTGGCGCCGTTGAACTCTCGTGCAAACGTCGGGAGGTATGTCTGTGGTAGACAGTATCCTGAGCTTTGAACCATAACTGCAACGAAGTAGGTGTAAATGCCACGGTGTTTCAGGAACGTCCATGGTATTCGAGGAGGTTTTCCTTCTCGTGCTATTGTCTTTGAAGGATGAGTCGGCACGAGAAAGATGGACAGGAGACCCGAACCAGCCAGGATGAACCCCCAAATCCGAATTGTCCATCGAAAGCCATATTGGTCGAGGAGATACCGCAGCAAAAAAGGACAGACCGAACCGACAATGTTTCGACACGAGAGAATAATACCATAGGCAATAGCCCGGTTGCCAGTGGCATACCACTCCCCAAGAGAACATGTTGCTGGACTATACACAAGAGTACAACCAAAAGCAGCCATGACGCCTTGGGTGACCATGAGATGCCATACATGGGTACTGAAAGAGGAGAGAATGAACCCAAGGAATGCTATGGTAAGACCTCCGAGCTCTGCTTTGAGCCGGTGATGGGCCCAGTAGCGGGTGAATATGGCAAATAGGAACGGCATGGAGATATACATGACTCCGTTGGAGGTAGTGCCGACTGTGCCAGTGATGGAGAGATCGCCATCGAGAGTCCAGTTGCTCGTCCAGTATTCTTCAAAAATACCATAACTCAGATTGAAGCCTAGAATGGTATCGTTAGTGAATGTATAATGTTTAGCCGTAGTTTGCTTACCCCAGAGTGGGAGCTGCATGAGTGCTGAGCCCCAAAGCACGCCGAGCTTCTTTCTGTGATCATTACCAATCGCCATGTTTGAATCGGTCTGGTGAGTTGAGTGAGAAGCCTGTTCGGCTGAATTCTCATCCTGCTGAAAACTGCTTTGCAGGACAGGCTCATCTTGAGACCGTCCGTGTTTCTCTGTTTCCGCCATTGGGAGGGGCCGACCTGTTGTGATGTATTTGACCGGGTCAAGCTAGAGCCTGCTTTGTAAAGTAAAAGAAAAATAAAGAAGCAGCGTTTTGCTTTCGTAAGTGGGGAGAAATGCAGACTCGGCTTCCAAGTGCCACCGCAGTGGCCACTGAGCGCTTCTAGCCGGCTTCGGGGTGATAAGCAGCTCCGAATTGATCAGCGTAAACGCCCAATTATTATTTGGTGTCCACATATTGTTATCATAACACACCCTCCAAAAACGGTGCGGACGTTGTCTCTTCACGCATTCACACACACCTGTACTGACATGTTGCAATGCTGTGGAGTAAATGGCGGTGTACATGCGAGGAAGTTTACATGGCCGTCAACGGTGCACGTCTAATGATCGGGCCTCGTAACCCCAGCGATTGAAGTAACAAGGCTCCTCCGATATCGCCAACCACGTTCCAATTCTGTCCAGAACATGATAGCTTACGGGACGGGAATAATGGCGTGATTCATGGCTGATACAACGCTTTACAAGTTTGCGAATGGGCCACATGAGATAGTTAGCAGACTTAGGTGAAACGTTGACATCGATCATTTAGGTAATGCCTAAATGAAATTGCTGAACCGCAATTGAGGCCATTGTCTATCAGTATTGATAGCCAAACAGCTCTTCACTATTATACTACGCGACCAGGTTGATCGAAGCTACTCTAAACCATGGTAGGCATTCAAGATATCCTGTACCAATTTCTCAGCATTACCATATGTAGGACCCATTGTATGTCCAGGTGGTGTCAATGGCATTGTAGAAGAATCGATAACACGCAAATTCTTGATGCCAAAAACGCGGCCTTTAGAGTCGACCACTGCTGATGGATCACCAGCTTTGCCCATGCTGCCTGCAATGAATTAGCATGAGCTCATATTCGTAGCATAAAGACGTGAACTTACAAGAAGCAGTGCCATGGTGCGTCGGGTCGAGGTTGTCGTATGTGAGATCCAGCAAATGCTCGTCACTGGTGACACTGGCGCCAGGGTATATCTCCTTACCGATTTTAGAAGGAATATGCTCCCAAAGCTGACGGGCTCTTCGGAGGGCATAAAGAGCTACCTCCTTGTCTGTATCTGCTCGTAGCCAGTTCGGGTCAATGATAGGAGGGTCAAGGTTGCTCGCAGATGAGATGGTCATATTGCCACGACTCACAGTCCCAACCATTCTGATGGTCATGGCGGCATAGTTCTTTCCAGTTGCCCCGGCGGGAGGATCAACCATCTGCATGATGAATTCTACCTCGGGCCAGTCATCAGGATACTGAGCGAGGTCCTCTTGGGCCTTTTTGCTAAGGTTTGCTAGGGGAATCTTTTCAAATGCTCCGACATCAACGCCACCGTTGGTAAGAGGTCCCTTCCTGTGTTGATTAAACTCGGTGATGGCTTCTTTCATCTTGGAGGGCTGTTTCCAACCGCCCGTTGAGATGCCTTCAATCTCCCAGATAGGCCCATGAACAGCAGCTGAATCATGTGTGCCTTGGCCGACTCCCGGTAGATTTGATAGGACTGGGATGTCAAACTTTTTGAGCGTCTCTTCAGGCCCAACACCAGAAACCATCAGTAGCTGAGGGCTGCTCCAGAGTCCTGCTGCAACAATGACTTCCCTCCGGGCCGTAAGGTTGAAGGATTGCTGGCCATAATTATCAACGGTGACACCAACGGCTTTTTTGCCAGAGAAGAGAATCTTGCGAGCCATGGTGTTGATGTATGTTGTCAAACCAGGCCGACCCAGGCTTTGCTGCAAAAACGAACTCTCAGAAGAATCACGGAGACCGGTCTCAGGGTTGATGGAGAACTGCCACCAGCCCCAACCTTGCAAGGCACCAGCAGTGAAGCTCGGGATCTCTTTGAATCCCAGTGCTTCAAAAGCTTTGATGGCGTCCCACGAGACTGGGAAAACGTATCCTGGAAATGTGAGGTGTAGAGGACCCCCTTTCTCTGAGAAAGCGGCAGTGTCATAAAGGGCTGTGGCGTTCTGAGGGCGATGCTGACTGTTATCCGAGAACTTCATAGTTCTTGTGTTGAACTTGAGCATATTCTCCCACGTGTAGGCATCATCACCGACTTTCTCGGCCCAGTGCTTGTATGCTCCTTTGGTAGGGCGGTTGAACATCATGAGGTTTCTGGCACTACTGCCGCCAAATGTTCTACCCTGTGCATAATGAATCTTCTTCCCGTTCTATTCAACATCAGTATAAGGGGACCGTATTGAGATCGTGGAGGTACTTACGTTCTGAGGCTGAGTGAAGTAACCCCAATCGATGAGTGGTTGCCAGCTAGACGCGCCGCCTGACCCTTTCCAGTCATTGATCCCTAAGTCATATCAGCTTGTTATAAACCCAGGTTGTGAACATTGAGACTTACTAAATGGTAACTGGCTGACGTTACCGTTACTCAGTTCATAGAAACCTCCCGCCTCAACCAAAGCAACCGTCGCGTTACTGTGCTCAGTTAGACGCGCTGCTGCCAGAGCACCTGCTGTCCCACCACCAACGATGACATAGTCATAGGTGGCATTGATACCCGGTATACCGAATCCGTTACCAGTGAGCTGCCCATCGTCAAACTGAGGGGGCACGTCTTCAGCGAGTGCTGACACAAGAAGGGAACACAAAACAGGAAGAATATGCATGTCGGCGTATTTGGTCCTCCCTTTGTTACTACTATGTGAAACCCACATACACTCCTGCGAATTTATAGACGAAAAGACGATTTAGGCTGGCGATTCCTTCATGCATACTGAACTAGACAAGTGCAATACATCCATCTTGGCATAGTGACCCAAATCACCCGATATCGCTGCTCCTATGCCTCCATCTGCTAGAATTCCCCATAAGCAAGCAAGGACCAGGGCTACGTGTACTCAAGGTACAAGGACAATAGCAATGAAAGGATATTCGGCACCTACAATCAGCCTGCTGACATGGCCCTCTACCAATGATTACGAAGACCTTTTTAATCACAATTGTTTATTTGAAAGACTTTCGTAAGATAAGACGATACGGGAAGGAAGTGCCAGTGTCGCATTGTAGATTCCTGAGTCAGTGCATCCCGTGCCGCCCGCCAACTTGCGGCTGACATTGCAACATTGCCCATGCGCCAGGTTGCAACACTAGAGATACTGCCTACCCGGAACAGTCCCATCAAACGAGACGGATCATCCGCAATAGTTCCTGAGCATTAGTGCGACGCAAGTTCCTTGGCACGAGCCCTGCAAGATGGACAAGACAGCTTGGCGATTCGGCCCGGGCCGGGTTTAGTCAAGACGGAGTCTCCGAGCGAGGCATCTCCACACAGTAAACATGTTTAGGTGAATAAATACGTAAACTAACGCTCATGATCTGAGCTTGGTCTCCCCGCAACGCGCTTATCATATCATGTGCGTCCTTGTGCATACAACCTCGGATCCGCTTATGCAGGGATCTACGCACCAAAGTCCTCGATTCGGTGAATTTCGGGGCTCTGCAGACAATCCTCTTCCATCCTTGCAGTTACGAATCTCAGTCTTGAGACGGGGAGTTGCTTCGCAATGTGGACACCATTAATTCGATCCTATAACTGCCGCTGCACAATTTCCTGTATCTTGACTCGCGAGGGACGCCGTGTCCCTGTTGTTGTCTCAGGGGATTGACGACGTGGCCTTACTCCCCACTTCCATAAAGCTTAACCTGTAAAGATCGGCGATGTCATGCTGCGTGATAATGCATCTTGTTCCTATTCTACAGTAAATGCGGAAACAAGGCACGAGACCCGGATGATGCAATTGCTGACACGAAATCGTTACTTATTCTTATCTGTAATTACGTGGGGTTCATCGGCACCTTTACCGAGAGCCAAGAAACATACAGCCTACCAGAATCTATTCCTTTTGCAGCCTACCTGGTTCATGATAGCCAGATACGGTGAGCAGTGAGGGTGTGTAGCATCACCACGGACCAAGATATCTCGGGGGAATCTGACAGATGCTGCATTGGGTCCCCCTACCCATCTGAGCACGGTGAACGAGGTGACAGACAATAGGGGACAGACGAACTAGGCAATAACTCACAGGATACAAGACTCGAGTAGAAAGTGAAAGCCAGTATTAACAATAAGCGTAGCTGATGAGAATATGTCCCACTGAGTGCGGACAAGGGTTGTTGCTGTTTCAGAGGTCATGGCCAAGATAGTGAACAAGTATAATAATGGGTGAAAACGGCCGGCTCTTGGCTCGATTTAGAACAGAAAATTAATATTCTTGATGACACTCATCTTCATTGTCCACAATCCTCTACTCACTTAATTAAAGATATTGTCAGTTCCAAAGTCGTACAAAGACTACCAAGTCAGCAAGATGGGCTCCCTTCATACTGAACCTTCACCATCGCCTGCCTTCTCTTCTGTGCGCTCAGCATTGGCTCAGAACAACAACAGAATCATTCTCTGTGAATCTCATGATGGTGCCTCAACAGAGATCATCAGAGCAACAGTTGGCAAGAACGGCCAGAAGTTCGATGGCATCTGGTACAGCGGTCTCTGTCAGACTACCTACCTAGGTATTCCAGACAGCGAGACACTCTCCCCGCTCCAGCGAGCATCGCTCCTCGCACTTGACGGGGAGCTCAAGCGCAAAACAAGCAACCGCTCTCTCTGTGCCGCTTTCGACGCGGACAGTGGTGGTGATATCGCAGATATCCCTGCCTTGGTCGCACTCATGAACCTTGTCGGCGTCGGCATGGTAGTCATTGAGGACAAGGCCGTTTCAGCCCCAGGCCAAAAGGTCAACTCGCTTGCTGCGTCATCTGCTTCGCAGGCCTTGGCTGATCCCCACGAATTCGCGGAAGTAATCCGCGCTTTCAGGGCTGTCAATGGAAAGGCAAAGGGAGGTCCTATGATCACAGCTCGCATTGAATCCTTCTGCTGCCGTGTCTCGAAGGCAGATGCGGAAGAGGAAAGCAAGTCATACGAGGATGCACACCAAGATGCCTTGAAGCGTGCCAAGATCTACCATGAGGCGGGTATCGACGCTATCATGATCCACTCCAAGAGTAAATCTCCACATGAGGTTACTCGGTTCTTGCGCGAGTACCGCGAGTTCGACTCCCAGACACCTCTTGTTGTCGTTCCGACTACTTACTCAGAGATACCAAAGGATGCCCTGTACGAAGCTGGAGCTAACGTTATCATCTACGCCAACCATTTGATGCGCGCTAAGATCAGTGCTGTTGGTTCCATCTCTGACAAGATCCTAGCCAAGAACTTGGACTTGTTTTACAACGATGCTGAGATCCGTGCGATGATCAAGGCTCGTAACTACGGCTGCCTTCTCAGAAAGCTGCGAAACCGCAGTGTTTGGGGTGAGGAGAGCAATGAGGCGAGGATGTACAGGATCGTTGCGGAGGCGACGGCCTCGGAGAACATTCAGGCAACAGTCATTGACTTACTGGAGGGGAAGCTCGCGGGATGCGAGGCAGACACGCGTATTGTGAGCGTTAAGGAACTTCTCAAGATCAATGCGAAGCAGGTGGTTCCGGTGGGAGAACTTGTCACCCAGGTAGATGTTTACTAGATTAGGTTAAGCTTATTTCGTTCTGCCTGATCTGTCTCATATTTCTGCAAACCTCTTGGCCACGTCTTAATGCAAGCTACTCAAGAACCCTGCCCTGCAATATCATCCTAACAGCCAGGTGCTTTTGTTATGCGAGATAAACATTGCTACTACTCGCATATCATTACTGTTATCAAGGGAGTCACATATTGCATGCAGCCTGTCTTTGTTGAAGACTTGCTCATCATTATTTGGGGCCGCCATGTTCTAGACTGGATTGGGCAGCTGGAACTTTGATATCTTGCGTTGCGCCATCTCGCGTTTCATGCGCTTGGATAGTGGGAGGGTGTTTACTACCACAGCCAAGCCATCATTGGGTAGTATTGCATATGGTCAAGCTTACTTCAGATTTCACCATTAACCGCACGGATCATCGGCAATGGGAGGTGTGAGGGTCCTACTGGGCTGGCTATGTCACGTCTGTGACTATCGATATGCAACGACAAAGTTGGAACACAAAGTAAATGGTCCAGTTGACGTGGCCTGATGTAGTGAGACCCCGGGAGGTTCTGAGTAACAACGAACCTTCTAATTGAGGTACTCCGATGCCAAGACAGACCTTGAAAGTAGTCCAAATTATAAAGACATCTTGGTATCTTTGAAGCGACGTACAGACCGACTAACCTAAAGAAATACAAACAACTTCAACTATTCAAAACACTTTCACACTTTGAGCTTGACACTTACAAGATGGCTCCTGGTCTCATCGAAACAGTCAGCGACTTTTCCCATCTCCCCAAGACTGAGTACCGCACCAAGCTAGAGGTGAAGCCCAAATCAGCACTCTTCCCAGATGGTTACAAAACCACTGGGCAACAGCCACCTCTCTATGAGGAAATACACCCATACTCAGATTTTCCCAAGAAGATCACTGGAATAACAGCCTGGACTAAAGATGATCTTTCAGGCTCTCCTGAGAAGGAAGCTATCTGGAAGCATCCTTTCACTGAGGAAGAGCTTGAAGACCTGAGCACCGCTGCTGAGAATTACATCAACAGCGGTCGGGACTTGAACGAGATGTGCAAGGTATGAGTTAAGCATTGCATGTGTACAAGGACTGACAAGCCTCTTTAGGAGCTCTTCCCTCTTCCTCGCATGGAGAAGTATCTTGAAGAGGTCCGAGATGATATGATCAATGGTTACGGATTCATCTTGTTTCAAGGCATGCCTGTCAAAGAATGGGGCATGCGTAAGTCGTCCACGGCATACATGGGCTTAGGAGCGCACTTCGGGCACATCGTGAGTCAGAACGGTAGGGGCCATGTGCTGGGGCACATCAAGGACCTTGGTGAGAATCCTGCGGACTTTCATAAGGTCCGACTGTATCGAACCACGGCAAGGTATGTAACTAGAGACCCTGCCCGGCAGTTGGACTTACTCGTATTCCAGACAAACTTTCCATGCGGACCCGGCAGATATTGTCGGACTGCTATGCCTCAATACTCCGCTGAAAGGAGGCGAGAACAACATCGTTTCAGGCCATCGGGTCTGGAACGTTATGCAAGAGGAGCGCCCTGATATCGCGGAACTCCTCACTCAGCCCATTTGGTACTTTGACCGAAAGGGAGAAGTCAGTGATGGACAGGAGGATTACATTCGATGTGCCATTTACTACATTGAGAAGGGAAATGGCAGAGTGTACTCCAAGTAAGTCAACTCAATCCCTAGCTGCAGTCTTGAAGCCATGATGCTTACATTCTCAATTGTAGATTTGATCCAAACTACGTCAGGTCTCTCAAGCGGTTCTCTGACAAAGGCATCATCCCCCCTCTCTCCGATGCACAGGCAGAGGCGATTGAGTTCTTTGATCAAACTTGCTACAAAGAATCCATCGGCAATGTTCTTGAGGTCGGAGATGTCCACTTCATGACTAACAACCATCTCTACCATTCTCGCCAGGCCTACACTGACCACGAGCCGCCTGCTCCCCGGCGCCATCTCCTGCGACTGTGGGTCTCTACGCCTGAGAGTGAAGGTGGCTGGAAACTGCCTTATCATGATTCTGATTGGAAGAGGAGGGGCGGGGTGCAGGTTGATGATCGACC